AATTTTAAAAACTCGAGAACACTAGAACAATAGTGTGATTTTGCAACTAAGAGTAGTGCACCTACATTGGTATTAGATTACAAAAAATAACATTTACAACAGATTTCCCACCGCAATCAATACTTCCATTGAGTAACAAACGCATAAAAAAACTTTTAAATAAACTGCAAATAGACTCGATACTGTTGCATATTTTTTCTCTTAAAAATTGCAGAGAGCATTCATCTTTCAAGAATAAAGCCACTAATTCTTCCGGCAATTGTATTTATTTTCTCTGTAGCAAAAAGAATGGACGAAAAAATGGCGGAAGATTGTCTAGGTTGCTCGTTTCAGCAACATGGTATTACATTTATAAATAATGCAACCATAAGGAAGAGCGCAGGTAGCTCCGGTTAATAGACGTCAACGTAGCTACTAGGGTAACCGGTAGCAAAAGTTCGCGTACATTAGCCCGCATAATTTTAGCACTCGCGACACTTGAACGGAACTCTTCGCCGTTGCGTCACAACATATCGTGGGTGAAGATGGCACCGTTTCATTACATAACGCCCTTCGAACGCTGTCTGTTTCATGCGCAACGCTATTTTCGTCGTACAAATTTCAGGCTGTCCAGCAACTATTTCTCCTATGCGCTTTCTTGTTCTTCGCAAGATACGCAATCGTTCAGCCGACGCCAGAAAATCAACGCAACCTTGTTGATTTTGCATGGTGCTACGGAGATTCGTGTTTAGAACCAGATAAATGATACGACTGTAAATTAGCGGTAATGTTTTTCTGTCGAATGAAAGACAGACGATAAATTTAGAGCTAATATGGTGTGGAAGATTAAAAAGAATGTAATGTGAAAAAGTAAGTACCGTACTTAGGAAAAGTAAATATCTTGATTGGTGAAATGTGTGAAAAGTATTTTGGTTAGTTAAATGTTCAATTAATTTAATATTACCTTAAGTTTAATATAGCATTCTATGGTACATAGTTATAGTAATAATATGCCTATAAAGTTTACTGTATTAAATGTATTTATACTAGTTAATCATGATTATATTTTTATTACTTTCTAACTTGATCTTTTATATACCATTTGATAGGTTAAGTATCTAGATCTAAGTAAAAATTATGTATTTTAAACATTAAAATTGAGTAAATATAAATATCATCTATTATCTACATTCTGGAACTAATGTCAACAGCGAATATGAAAATGAATTTTTATTATTAAATTTCTAAATCAAATACATACTGACAGCTGAAATATGAAACCAGAAACGTTCTTTTCAAGAATAGAATTTTTCGACAATTCCAAATATAGTGAGTAGGACAATATGATAAAAGGAAGTAAGGGAACTGATTTTATTTTGGAAACTAAGATTTTTAAATTCATAAGCCTATTACGTTTGGAAAAGTTGTATACCTTCTTAAAAAATACAATAGTTCAAACATTATTCTGAATATTTTAAGCAACCTATTCTCACAGTTTTATAATACACGCGCAGACTCACCGTCAGACTCAGAGCGCATGCGCACGTTGCTGTCATCTGCATTAAACATGGCGACTGTAGCAAGTCTGTCACGTCGAACATCGTTGGTGTCCCGACATTTGCGTTGTGTCACACGTTCTTACCATTCGTGGCGTAGTAACAGTGAAGTGAAAAGATGGAAAAACAACACTGGATTGTTCGCAGCTGTATCTATGGCTCTTTTTGTTGGCTACAAATATTCGCGACCTGATGTGGTATATGCCAAATCTCGAAAGGTTGGTAAATACAAAGTTTTCTATCTTTTATGTGCGTAGTATACACTTTGAAAATAATATACATGCTATTTGACATGTGAAAAGTGACAAATGCAAATTTAAATAGCGAAATCAACGTTAGAAGAAATGCATTCAAGGTAATAGATGGTGTCCATGTACTTGAATTGAACGCATATTGCTTCTAAATAGACATTCTTCGATAATTGTTTTGTCATTGACATCGTATAAAGTAGATTCATCTGAATTAGATTTCATCATACGATTCATGTAGCTTTTGATGGGAACAAATATTACGCAAGATGTTAGTGACGTTAAGGGTTACAGGTTATAGGTTAGGATTTGATCCTGTTTATAAGGAAGCGTAGTAGATACATTACTTCGTAAACTTGATTCATATGAAGATCAATCTACTTTAACATGCATTATTTTATGTAAAATGATAAAAATGTATGCAATATGTAGTAACATTCAAATAATAAAGTTCTTTTGAATGAATTCGTATATGCAAATCTTTTCAATTAAACAGATGTCAATTTTAATAATGTCAATAATAGAATTATAACAGAATTATTTTTAACATTTATCAATTACAATTAAGAAATTCAGGAAAAATGTCATTTAGAAATAAACAAATAGAGAAATATTTCTAAATTATTTCTAGCCAAGTGTAATGATAATATTGATATGCAAATATGTTTTTTCTTTATATTTCAATTATAATTTAGATTCGTAATTAAATAAAGATAAAACAAACGTAATAATTATACTTGACCGATTATGTAGATACTCGATAATTTGTAAAGAATGAATAACACAAATAATATTTCTTTCCCTGAGATATTAAATATTGTTAATTGTAATAGTTCAAGACGATTACAAGAGTACGTGCAAAAAGTATCAAGCATTCTTATTTGATGTTAAAATAAACAATTAAGCGGTATAACGCTTCTAACTTCCTTTGTTTACTATTTAATGCTATATTTAATATATAAGAGCAGTTGTTATGAGACGGTTTTATATTTTAGAGTACCCTCTATTTACTGTATAACTAATAAAGTATATCAAGCCAATTATCAACTAGCTGGTATTTTGCGACTTAAAAGAGAAGAAGTGCGATCGTATTATTTAACTTTTACGCGATTAAACGTATTTTCAGTTTTGTAATTGTATTAATAAATAAAATTCGTGTCTCCTTATTACATACATTTTTGTAACCGTCTCATGGGCTCATGGAATATGTGCGTTGGATGCACCTTCAACTGTCCAGAAAAATACCGTTCAACTTTTATCGCTATGTCAATTAGAAACAAAGATACGACGGTTTAAATTTCGTTACGAACTTTTAGAACAACCCAATACATACGTTCGAGCTACTCGGTTCTTTCCAGCTACTCCACTATTTCCAGTACTCAGATTGGATCGAAAATCGAGTCTCGGCTTGGTTGAAATTTCAAGCTACTCAAATATTCAAGTACGCCGGCAGCGCTACAAACAACCCAACAGCAAATCGAAATTTCGAAAGCAAGACGAACAAAAGCGCATATTGGAGAGGACAATCCGTTAAAGCGACGGTGTAACACGTCCCGCGTGAACACGAATCGTCCTTGGGTCTAGCAGAACAAGTGCAGATCTTGCGGAGATCTGTGCTCGCACGGCCACAAATCACGGCCGAGACAGCATTCTGCGGCCACGCCACGAACTGGCAGCCGTTATCGCGTCCGAGATTCAACCGCATCGTTTATCCTCGATCCTGGTCATCCTGGCGGCCATGTCAGCATTGCGATACACGATCGACAGATACGCTATCTGACGATAACGCGGAACATGGCTCCAGGAGGTGCGGGAAAGCATCTCGCGAACCATATCATCGGGCCGAATGATGATAGTGCTCGCGAGGCTCATCATGGAACCGTTAGTGGCTTCTTCTTCTTTCTCTCTAGCCAGACCTATTTACATACTTATCGCGTGTTACGCGACTCGTCTGCGTGGACTCTTACCCACCGAGTGATTGAAACGCTATCGACGCTTATACCCGGCTTAGTACGAAACCTCTCTCCCCCCGGATAAGAACTCAATTTGTGGCCCCTTAATGCGCGCGCGCGATCTCCTCGCGAAACTTTCTGTTTTCATTTCCGTCTCGTATCGTATGGTCAAGAATTTAATCCACTAACCCGATAATGCATGAGCTCTACCATACGATTTACACGGTTTCCCAAGCGCACACGCTTGGAATTAGAAGTCAAAGCTGGCGTAAATCATAATTTTCGTGCGATAACGCCTTTCCGTGTTGTCGAACTCGTAAACGCGAAACACACACCTGGGACTTACATGGTATATTCGCGAACCTGGCATAGTATTTGCCCCCCCCCCCTTTTTCCCTGGTTCGAGCTATCTCGATACGATTACGCTTCTTGCTGCTGGCAGAGAATTGATTATTAAAAGATACGATGAACGATGAGAAGGAAGATAGAGTCGATCAGAAGAGGCACAATTTGTTAAGAGGCCGATTACCGAGTCGAAACCAATTACCGAGTTTTTGAGACACGGAAAGGGATATTTTAATGCGGCCTGATGGTTCTTGCTAGCGTGTAGAGTGTAGAGGATAAAAAGAAGCAACGCTTCTTTTCTCGTTTCTTTGGAAATAGTGTAGGGTAGATCGTTGAGAGATGCGTAAGTAAATTGACTTATAAGTAGGTACAAAGTTTTCGAACAGCGAGTTTAAAGGTTTACGAATGTTGCGTCTATGTATAACGTAGCACGTTGTACAGCAAAATTGCAAAACTTGTTAGGAAAAAGGAAAGAAAAATGTCGTATAGCATTGTACTGAATATTTTTCGTGTTGTATAGCAAATTATGTGTTGTCCAACAAGTGTCGGTAAAGATCAAAGAAAGTTGTGAAACATTGTTATGTGACATTTTGCAGCGGTACAAAACAGTATGACGCGATTATAAACTGCCGTCTATCGTATGCAAACAGTTTGTCGTCTCAGTCTAACTCTTACTTAGAGTACACCTACCCATCTGAGTAATATTTAGGATAGTTACTCTCGAGAGTACTCTCAAATTGTGTGTCCAGCTCTTCGCCAGCACCCTCAATATCCTGTACCCTAGTAAATTTGACTCTCGAGAGCAACTTGTGATAGTCTTACTCTCTAATGAACAAGTTCCCTTACTTTTAACCGGGAAACATTTATTTATTGTTTGACATCGTTTTTTACAATTATGAAATGGAATGGACAAAAGAAAGTACTGCTTGTTTAATTGAATTTTTTCGGGAGAAACGTGTCTTCTGGGACTCTACGTCTGTGAACTTCAAAAATAGAAATAAGAAGCATGGCGTTGAAATGGAGATGGATTAAACCGAAATAGAAAATAAAATTCGAATGTTAATTGGATAGTTTCTATTAGAATTGAAAAAAGGAGAAAATACAAACAAGTTAGTCTTGTTATTATAATACCAAAAGCTATAATCTTTAATTACATTAATCGTAACATTGATATTAATTGTGCTGGTGATTATAAATGTGATATAAGTGAAAAAAAAAAAACTTAAAAAATCGAGTTTTTCTCTTACTTTATGATACACTGATTTATACTTAAATATTATGAAAGAAGGTTTGGGAAATAGTCGTAAAGTAAGCAGTGACATAAAGGTGTCACTTTCATGAGTCGCAGCAGTTTCACTTTCATTTCGATAGTGTAAGTCATTCATTCCCTGTAAGCAATTTGTGAAAAGGAAATAATTACATATTTTACATAATTCCATCCAATTCATCGCGAATTTTAAAACCTTTAAAATATGATAAACTGAAAACGTTATTGAAACAGAATATTAACAGAAATTAATTAAGAAAAATTACAATTATGACATAAATGAATATGTTCCTTTTGAACTCGTTTCGTTCATAAAATTCATTCTTCTTTGTTATCGTAAGTTAGTTAAGGGTTTAAAAAACACATTTTTAAATTTTGCAATGATAGACAAGTTTAACATTAGAAGATCGTGTATATTCTGAAACATTTTGTTCCATAATGGAAACATATTTCTTTAATACGCCCAAATACAAAAGTCTAAATATCTCGAAACGAAAAATGCGTGACACCATTTTCATAATCACCGACACAATTGTGCTATTTATACGAGCATCCTTAAATTAAAGTACGACACTCAAAGTATAAAATTTAACCCTTAAAATTCCAACTATTAAATTCTTATTTCGTAAATTAATATGAAAATGTAACTTCAAAAAATTACTATCAACATTTTGTGTCAATAAAATTTCACTCGTCATAAATTTTATTCGACTACCGTGGAATAATGAAACGAATTCTTTTCTTCATTCATACACACTCTAATCTGACATAGATATTTCTTCATACTGTTGTTATCAAGGAAAATAAAATCCACGAAATCTTTATTGCCACGTTTCGAAGGGGTCTACTACCATACTATACTGTATATATGTATATACTTACTAATCGTTCTACTATTCCTAAAGCTGGCCCGATGTTGAAACAGCGATACCTGCTTCCAGTAGAACTGGTACCACCTCAAAGAACCTGCTAACATTGCATAAAGCATTGTTTTATCACCTTATATCTTCGAAGAAGTTTCGTTATTGAAATGGCGGCGTCAGATTATACTAAAACTGGTAGTACTGGCTGAAACGTGGAGTGAGACGTTTACGTTGATACGAACTTCTGGTTGGAAATGGACCAAGTAATCACAGTAGAAGCTATGGCAGATTGAATCGAACGGTATAGACGGCGTTATCTTATTCTTCGTTTGGAACAAGTGAAACATCTGATAGCTGAGAATAGTCATAAATAGAGGCGCGAACCCCATAAAGTGAAATTCCACCGAGGTCTGTACTGCACGGCGAGCCGCGAACATCGTCGTTTAATTGGAATTCGTTTATCAGATGAACCATTACGATCCGTTGTAATGGATGCCAAGTGTTTGCTCGCGAAGGTAAACCTGATTCTCGTCGCAGATTCGT